TCGTGCTGGAAATAATAATGGAGCTGATCAAATGATTATCGATTAACATTATCTATTTTAACAGATCTGTGTCTATTGATACGTTAACTCGTTTATGTTTTGTGTTTATGTTAATTCTCTATTGCAAATCTGCTTTGTCTTATGGTTTTGAACAATTTACTAATAATTCAGACATTTAAATATAATACTCATTTTTGCTTTTTTTGGTTATTTTTAATCTTTAAATTAAAATTATATGAACAACTATCGGAAAATGTTTCATTTATTTTTTGTGATTTTTGAAAAGTTTATATTGAGAAGACGCTATATGCAAAGGCGAAGGAAACGACGGAATTGAGGTTCTATGAATTTCTTTTTTACTCTCTCAGATTTTCCAATTCTTTTTGATTAATACGCAACAAGAACATGAATCTTTCGAAAGTTGTTCTAGTCTAGTGATCCTGTACTGTAGGATAAACTCTAGACTCCAATTTTTTTTTATCATTTTAACATTTCCTTAGATGAGAAAAAAATATATAATTTATGTATCGCAGTCAAAATTGATAGCTTTGAGCATTAATCTGTCAATTTATATCGTATGAGTAAAAACTTTGAATCTCTCCTATGTCACTAGAAAGAAAAAGAATTGACTAATTTGATTGAAACATGATGGAAACATTTAAATTTTTTTTTTGATAGATGACTTTTGGGACGCCTTGTAAATATTAACATAATGTCATAACCAAAAAAGCAACAATAATGGCAGCACTCACCAAACACAATGAAAACAAACTGTGACAAGAAAAAAATTTTTTTTTGCTTTTCAAGATTGAAAGATTAATTCTAAATATCTTTTGTATTTAGATATTTGTAGAAAAAGACAATCGAAAAGTATTTACTTCGATAAGTCGTTAACCAAGATAACATCGATCATGGCACAACATAATACCTAGGTAAGACAGTTCGACAAAGCTCAGGTGAACCACTACGGGTTATCAGATGTTACTGCAAACGAACGTTTCTATTCTATATTATGTCGTTATAACATGCTAAGTATAACTGATCTTATGTGAATGGGGACCGACGTCAAATAAACACGGTCGTAAGCGTCCATTTATATGTTTCTTTTCGTCGTTTAGTAGGCGCAGTATTAGGATTGTTATCAACTGTGTACGTACGATCCTAATAAACTGCGTACCGCACGCCGGTACAAAATACCATTTTGGGTCGCCTCAGTGCCTGTAATCATTGTTCTGAGAAAATACAACTCCATTAACGTATTGTATTTTACTGTATACGATCTTATTCTTTCATCAGAGAGCTAATATAAAGCTATCGTTGCAACAATTGAAAATATTAGCAAAAAGAAAAGAACGTTTGTCCATCGTGCAATGTCATGCATTCAAGTGTTTGGTAAATAAGTCGAATTGAAGTAATTGTAACACTATCCAGACTGGCTAATACGGAATTCCGTATACGTCCGTAAATAACAATGTACGTTCCATATTTATCCGTATACACCCGTATCTTGTCGTATGCATGGTCTCATATTACAATCGTATGTTTCTGCAATCGTATACGGCTTTTGTATACGAAGGCAGTAAATGGTTTTTTTTTCTTCCGTGTACAACAAGGAAATATACGGTCGTTTACAGGCGTGTCTGTTCGACTTGGGTATCTTTTCTATATATTTTTATTATTCCGTAAGAATAAGACTGACAAAGAAAATTAGCGACATCTTTTGATTATGAATAAGAAATTAATTGTTTTTATTTCATACATCTTTTCTTACTTAAAATATAAAAATTCAGAGACAACTTTGATAAAAAAATTCATTAATTATTATTTATCGAAATTCTTCAGTAAAACGGAGTACTTATCCAAACTTTACCGTTTGCATATAAAACGTTCTTGGAGACTCACTTTCTCTGTTTCTTTTATCAGGCCATTGTATATTTTGTTTTAATTATGGGAGGAAAAAACACGCGGCATTAAAAATTCTTCTATTTATCTTATTTATTTATTTTCTAGACTTTGTACATTTTTATCCGTCCTTTACTATCATCTTTTGAAATAATGATATCAATTGTTATTTATGCCATTTTTATTGTCAATTGATAATCAGCAAGAATACACAAAAAAGAAAAAACAACAAACAGATTATTTTTGTTTTTTCATGTTTATATGTAAATAATTCTTTCAAATAATATTATTCGAATGAAGAATGACTACAAATCATTCATTAAATTCACATTATCAAATTGGTCGTCGTTTAGGTTCGGGCAATTTTGGTGAAATACATTTAGGTCGTAATAATGAAACACATGAATATGTTGCAATTAAATTAGAACAAATCTTGACACGTACACCACAATTAGTATATGAACATCGATTTTATAAAATATTAGGAAAATATGATGGTATACCATATGTACAATTTTATGGACAAACTGCTTCACATAATGCACTTGTTATGGAATTATTAGGACCATCATTAGAAGATTTATTTGATTTATGTTCAAGACATTTTTCATTAAAAACTGTCTTAATGATTGGATTACAATTATTAGATAGAATTGAATATGTTCATTCAAAAAATTTAATTTATCGAGAGTAAAGAAGAAAAAAAATATTTAGTTTTCGAAATCTTATTTAAATGATTAAAATTTTTAGTATTAAACCTGAGAATTTTTTAATTGGACGTGGAAGTACAAATCGTCAACATATTATACATATGGTTGATTTTGGTTTAGCAAAACAATATCGAACATCGGATGGTACACATATACCTTATCGTGAACATAAAAGTTTAACAGGTATAGAAAAAAGAAAAACAACAAACTTCAATACGTTAGTTTAAAAAAAAATTCTAATGAATTTATTTTTAGGCACAGCTCGATATATGTCAATTAATACACATCTTGGTATATTCTTTGTTTAGCGAAAGAAAAAAAATAATGTCTGAATTTTTCAGGTCGAGAACAAAGTCGACGAGATGATTTAGAAGCTTTAGGCTATATGTTTATGTATTTTCTACGAGGAAGTCTACCGGTATGTAAGATTTTCTATTTGTACATAACTATGATTGTTGATTTACATAATGAAATGAATATCGGAGGAGAAAAATAGTAATATTAAATAATAAGACAGCAATTCGTAGTCAATTCTTGTTTAGGCTAGAGAGAGCGACGTGAATTATAATTCGCTATTTGAATTCACAAAGGGGTACTGGTAAGACTAGCAAAATTCTAAAAGAGCTCGTACCCATGAAACTCCAGAGCCAATTTATGACCCTCACAATATTCTGAAGATATATTTAGTCGAAAAGAATGTTCATTTATCAAAATATATTGAATGCTTCATGATGTAGCTTCAAAGACGTGATAGACGAAGGCCCATTGGTACGAACTCTTTTAAATTCTCTCTAGCCTTACAGTGAGTTACGGTTCGGGTAGTTCGCTCTCACTAGAGAAAACTATGTCAGAATTTATTCACATTAACCTTTTAAGCACCATGACTCGATTATGATAGCGAGGAATTTCTAAATTTGTGTGATCATCATTGTTATTTAAGCCTATTTTCTGAATAATTCATAAAACATAAGAATTTCTTTCAACATAAAATGTTAATAGCTTGTTGGCCAAAAGAAATCAAAGTTTTACTTTGTAGTCGAATGTAGTTCTGATTCTTCTCTAGCTATGATATGAATTTGAAGTATTAGTTTATGGTAACTATGGTTATCTCTTCTAGATTTTGCTTTGGCTTATAGTTTGCCAAAAAATCAGAGAAAAATTTAACAAGATTCTTCGTAGTGTCAGATACGATATACCCTTTAATCACTCATCATAATTCTTCGAATAATTCATGAATTAAAATTTTTTTTTTTTATAGTGGCAAGGTTTAAAAGCGGATACATTGAAAGAACGCTATCAAAAAATAGGTGAAACTAAACGTTTTACAACTAATGAAATTTTATGTCAAGGTTATGCAAGTCAATTTCTTATTTATATGCGAACTGTACGTCAAATGGAATTTTCTCAAACACCTAATGTACGTACAAACATTTCTTTTCAAAAAACAAACAATTTAAAATAATTCATTTTAGTATAATAGTTTACGTGCATTATTTCATAGTGCACTTGATGAAAATAATCTTATTAATGATGGTGATTTTGATTGGATTAAACTTCTGCAAGACCATCGTTTAAATCGTAATAAAACAAAACAAACAAATTTAACTGGTATAACATCAACTAATACTACGACTAAGAAAACAGTTCAGATAACCAATGGCATATCATCAACAACAGTTCGGAATAATCATGAGTTACATAATCGTACTGTAGCTCTACGTACTATATCTCAACATCATCAACTACCTATAAGTTCAACAAATGGTACAACTGTAACTTTAAATGGTGGTTCAAAAACAACAGTTTCAAATGCAAGTACAACTAAAACTCCTGTTATTTTACCATCATTACGTTCAACAGTTGAAAGTCATCGACCTATACCAGCTAAACGACATAGTTTAGTTCCCGTACGACCAATATCAGATTCTTCAACAAATGTAAATAATTGTAATAAAGAACAATATTCATCATGTATTGGCCAATCATCAGAAGCAACATGTTGTTTTTTTAAACGTAAAGCTAAACGTGCTTTACAAATAACATCAACGACATCTAGAAAATCTTAGGAAAATTCTTTTTCTTTTTTTTTTTGTTTTCGTTATCAATACAGCAGGTGTTAGATAAGTTTTCATCCTGCTGATTTTCATTCCTATTTTGAGCTTTCAAAATATTTGCAAATATTATACTGTATTATTAGCTATTCGATGTTGGACAACAGTGTTTGTTTTGTCTTTGCAATATAATTGTGTATTATTTCTTGTTTTTTTTTTTTCATTTGAATAATCTCAATAATCATAGGAAAACAAATTATAATTCTATTTCAGATAAAAGATCAAAGTATTATTTATGTCCTCCGAACAGAAGACAATGTCCTCCGAACAGAAGACAATGTCAAGTGAGGCAACCCCAGTATTTCAAATGAATCAAAAGAAATTAAAAGAACTTGCCGAAAGTGCTAATGCTATCAAAATCGGTGGCAAGGTTTGTCTACAATTTTCTGATTTGATGATATTGTAAAAAAAAAGCCTTTCTATGTAAATACTATTAGGGTACAGCTCGTCGCAAGAAGAAAATTATTCATCGACCAGCTAATGTAGATGATAAAAAACTTCAAAGCTCATTGAAGAAACTTGCTGCAAATAATATTCCAGGCATTGAAGAGGTTTGTATAGCTATTTTGTTTCTCGCAGAATCTTTTTGAATATCAGGAGAAAAACTATGAAAATTGTTCTTCAATTTTTAATAATATTAGAATTTCATAGTTTACATTAAAATCATATTCACGTTAAAATTGTAATCTTTGTTTTTGATATTTAACAGGTCAATCTATTTAAAGATAATGGTGAAGTAATTCATTTTGCTAATCCTAAAGTACAAGCATCACTCAGTTCAAATACATTTGCTATCAGTGGTGCTTCGGATACAAAATGTATGAATATATAATTATATTTTTTCTTTATAATTTCTTTCTATACTTTGTATTGTAGCTCTACAGGATATGTTACCGACAATTATGTCACAAATGGGCATGTCAACTGATGTAGGTTTGGCAAGTGAAGCAGGCCGACGTAAAGCTGGTTCACATGGTGAACAACATGGAGGCGAAGGACATACTGGAACAATAAATGAACAAGAAGGTGATGATGAAGTTCCTGGTATGTTAATAAATAATATGATTTAATATAATTATTTGTATCTGTATTTTTATTTGTAAAGATCTTGTGGAAAATTTTGATGATGTATCAAATGCAAAATGATTGGTCAATAACGAGCATCATTTTTCAAAATATATAACAGTTGTTTTCTAACATTTTCTTTTTTTTTTGTTTTTTTTTGTGCCACAGAAAACAAGAAAAACAAATCATCGAATAGAATCTTTTCTTCATTCAAAACAAAAACAAGAAAACTAACTTAATGTTATGTTCTTTCCGATTTCTACCTTCATAAGCACGCACATTTTTGTTAACTATTTGTTCTACTTTTTTTTTGTCTGTTTTTGTTTTATTCATCTAACAATTTAAAACATCATTAAAAAAAGATCAAGAACAAGAAGAAACATATTGATTAATACATTCTATTGGTCAATGCAAATTTGAGATGCATACATATATGTATATGTATATGCATGAAGTAATATGAGATGAAGATGATGATATTTTTTTAAATAACAAAACTTTCGGTATTTTATTGCACTAATATATAGATATATGCAAAAAGAAAAGTTACATTGGCAATGAGTATAAATTTATTCAAAATATATTCGGTAAAATCCAAGAGATGAAGAAAGGAAGTAAAGTAAAATTTGTAGCTAACAGACTTTGTCAATGAATTATATATTTACTTTCGAATATAGATGATGAGCGTGTGTTATTTTTATACAAAATTTGTTTCTTTTTCTTCTCACTTATCGCTTTTATTTCGAGAGCTCTCTTACAAAAACGAAAGAATAGAGAAGCAAATAAGCGCATACACATACACACAGAACAACAGTAAAAACGGATCGATTTGCTATTCACAATCTATTCGTTATAATTGTAGGTTGTAATAGTGTATTTCACATAAACATATACACATCCCTGCATGACTGATTACAAATAAAGGTCATCTTTTATTGTAGGCATTATGTTTCAATTCTATACTATATTTCTACTTATTTTGTACTTTACTTGTTCAATTTCGCTCGATACGAACAAATTTCCATCAAAATTTATTCATAAATCTAATTCAAATCATCATGTAGTTGCTATTATTATAGAAACAAATCAATTTGATAAAAATATTAATAATACAAATAATAATAATAATAATACCGATAGTTTCTCGACATCAACTAGCAAACGAGTATTAAATGAACACTTAAAGATTATTAGTACTATTAGTTGTATATCCGTTGGAATTATGGTAGTCATTGTTGTTACATATTTAACTAAAAGATATTTTAATTATAGAAGAACAAACGTTCTTGAAACAAGTGAACATACAGTGCCATTAGCAACATAAAAACAATTCGTACTTCTAATATATATAACGTACCACGTAAAACAAAAATATTATCAACTCGAGTATCATCATTCATATGACTGTATTATTCAAGCAGTTGAATGAAAGAGAGAGACTACAGATGGTAAATTGGATTTTAATCATTGTGATATATACATTAGTATTTTCACTATTTTATATGAAAATAAAGAATGAATTGAATGGTGTTTTTTCTTTGGTCAATTTTTTTATCGAGGTATTTTCAGCGTTTTATATTATTTGATAATAATAGGGTAATTATGAATATAGAATTTTTATTGAGAGAATTAACTAATGAATAGTTTGAGATAAAGAGTCAAACAAATCTACTTTTTGTAGGTCTCGCGTAACTGTCACGAACGCTGTATTGTTTCTCTTTGCATAAGAATATTTTGATGATAATTAAATGGAACTAGAAGATTGGTTGTATCAAAAAAACAAAAAGAGATTACGCACACAGTAATAGCTTGACTACACGAAACATTTATTGATTTATTGCAGTTTGGATCTGCCAGAAAGAGATAAAAAAAGAAAATATTAACATTTCGAAAAAAAACGGCGTTTTTGTGTATTAATGTTTTTGAATGAATTTTGACGAAACGATTCAGGTATGATAATAGCAGCCGATTAGAAAAATGTTCAGAGTCATTTCAGGAAATGGATAAGCAAAACTAAATCATTTAATGGACAATGAGAAAGGTATTCACAATCTATTGTGAATAGAGTCCATCGATTCCAAAATAACTAGACTTAATTGATCAAACTTTCTCGAATCCAAGCCTGAACTATTATCATAGTTTCAAGAAAAGTTTTTAGTCTGTATCTAATAGTACTTCCGAAGATGCAAAATACTTGTTATATCGATTATTTATATTTCATGATTAACACACTTTATACAGTTCTCAGGCAATTTTTATGATCGTGTAATAATCAAGTCACAATCAGCTGTTACTTTAAGAAAATGACCTATTGGGTGAGTGCCAAATCGAGGTTAGGAACCAATCTGATGCTTATGAATCAAGACTGTGTTCAGTCGAATTGATAAAAAAATGATTTCTTATATTTAAACAGTAAAGGCATTCCACTATATATTAGAATACTTAGATTTTCTGTCGAAAAAAAAAAGAAGTTTTTCATTGAAAAATTAGGAAAAAAACATGACAGATAAGCGGGTGTGTGAAACGTTCTCTTAGCATATGATAGAGTTGAAAACCAGGTCCTATACTTATCACAAGTAGGCAGACTTGACGGCCTGCTTTAGACATCTAATTTGAGCATTTATCGCATAAATCACTCTGGCTATGTCAATTGGCGACATACATGTAACATACATTATCGATAACATTAAAGCTTGATGCAGGGTATGCAATACGTTTTTGTTTCCTTCAAAGAATATTCTTTTCTTAAATGTTTTTTTTCCAGTAGAATAGACTAATATTCACATTATAGATACGTACAAGACATTTAGATCCACTCTAAACTAGAATGTGAGCTTTCTACTTTTATAGTTCAAGAGATATCAGTAACATGAAACTCATAATGTTTTCTAAATTATTTTTACAAACAGTACAAACGAAAAAAAATATAGTTATTCAATCAAACTATCACAACGAATAACTTTTACTTTTCTGCATATCACCTCTGTGTTCTGTTATTTGTCCATCCGGTTATCAACAGATAAAAATTGTACAATCTCTTTTCGTTTGGAGCTTGTAACATCTAGGAACAACAAAACCTACGAATAATGTTATATGAACAAATAGATTGACTTTTAGTGACTTAGTGAATGAGTAGATGATTGCTGTTATCCCTGTTGATTATTTTTACAATTTTCAATCAAATTATCCTTTTATTTTAATACCAAGAAAACATGGTACACAATACCGCACGAAAATTAAAATTAAAATGGATTAAAATAATGAAAAATTTCAAACGTTGGTCGATACTAATACAATTAAAAGAGTATTTTGTGCCAAACAATTAACAATAAGATTTGATATTAGTAAATGAGACAATGGTATTTGGACGGAAGGGGAAAATATTATACCATCATCGTTAGCAAACGTGCCTACGGATAAATTTCAAAAAGCAATTCTTTTTTTTTGGGGGGGGGGGGAGCTATTTCATCATGTGGGCTCATTCCAACTGGGGGTCAAATTAATATTACCAAGTGGTTATGTTAATAACAACCACAAAAAAAAGAAAGATAGGAAAATTTACCTAACAATTAAGTTCTATTTTGAATTTTTAAAACAAGAAACCGCATCTGCAACAAAACCAGCATTGAAAAATTTTAACTTGATATCGAGTTTTCAAGATGATGAGGATAACAATTATCGAACAGTAGTTGTCATAAATACTATTGAATCCTCATTTGCCAATATTTTACCAATCGAGACAATTTGGAAATGCATTTAAAATGAATCAGAATTGAAAAATCGAGTAGTGCAAGAAATGGGAAGTGTTTGTCGATTTTCTTCTTTGATTTGCTTATCTTAGTGAAGAAAAATACTTGATGCAAATAAATTGAATGTTTGATTATACCCACGAACTTTTAGTTGACTCGCAGCTATCAATTGTATATTACATGTTCAATTAGCCAGTTCTTTTCGTCTATTAACCATTGGACGAATAAAAACTTTACTAGTACAATAACGTTTACCCAATCGAGAAATCAAAAGAAACTATCGCATTGCGATGCATATACATGTGCATACAAAATTCTAGTGATGACCAAAAGTGGCTCTCAATTGGAACAGCGTTCATTGAATGATACACTGAATACATATATGAGTTTTTTTTTCTAAATGCTTTATTGTTCTATTTTCCAAACACATGTTTCTTAGTTTACTTTTTGTTTGTTTGTCGTCTCCATGTGAATTTTACATTCTCATCTATGACCGGTCATATCTAAGTGAACAGATGCATATATACTTTATTTGCTTTTTGTACAATGAAAAGATATGTGGATACGACTGACAGATGCAGAGTGACTGTCAATTCTTATCTGCAACAATAAAGAAGCTCCAAGCTATTAGCAATAACTAGCCAACATGTGTCATGAATATTTGCCACGATCAGATGGTTGAGGGTGTGGATGTAAAAGCTTCCAAGGAAAAAAAATTTAATTCAAGAATGTACTAAGTGGTTTTTTATTATCTAACTTATTTATCTGGTGATTATTTAATGAGAATCGCAAATGAATAGAACTACGGTAGAAATATCAATGAGTAGGGATTCATATACAAAGATACTATGATACCTCAAAAGGTTCAACATGGCATTGACGAAAGTTAAAATCGAGAATTTGCATAAAGAAGGTGTTGACAGTAATTGAATGATGCGTGATACTCATCTGGTATTCACTTGTACAAACGTAATGAATGTTTTAAAACAAGTAGTACCAAATTGTCAAGTCTCATTCGAATCAAAATTATTCTTCATGATCTAACATGTGTACAAATCTGATGTTGTAAATATTCTTTACTACGAAAATACAGTGAAGCTACGATCTAGAAAAAAAGTATGGATCGTTTCATATAGGCCAGCGATTTCTTGGCCCTGAGTCTATTAAAAACTAGTGAGCGATATATTCCGTTTTTTTTTGGAGGATGCCGACCGTTGAACTTGATATTTGTTACGAATTGATAAATCGATGAGCTCTCTGTGTTTTTATAACAAACCTGAAGAAAAAGTTTTAATTTTATTCAGTTAACTATATCCTGTGTGAATTTATTAAGGATTCTCTCTCAACAGCTGCTTCTTTTTTTGCAAAACAATTGTTCAAAAGTAGCTATTACTCAACAAATCCATCTAAAACTCTAAGCACATTACTCGATGTAGTCCACGACTATGATTGTAAGAAGTTTGACAAGTTCATCATTGGTAATCAGAGACCTATCGATAACTTCCAAACACAATTATGCCTCCGATTGTGTCGGAATTCGAACTACAACTTCTTTCCATAAAGCGTTTTTAATATACAAATAGATTCATTCTTCATATTGATGAACGAAAAAAACATTCGAAAAGAACGATGCAGACTTGCAATACCAATCGAGGTCCTATCGCCACCTTCATGAAAAATCCTATCGTGCTTGTGCACATAACATTTTGAATCGAAAAATTTGAAATATCTCCGAATCATTGCAAAAGTTCAGTTTCGAGTTAAAAAGCTTGACTTTGTAGGTATCTGGTCGTCATCTTTCTTCTGTCAGGAGCAAGTTTATTTCAGCTTCAGAAAATAATTAAAGAGTCTAGTTTTCTTGTCAAACAAAAAAGCATTCGTAAACTGCATTCCATCACGTGCTCGTATTTAGCTACCACTCTCTTGAACATCGAGTTTAGTCGGACAGTCATTTCTCAATTTTTCTAGGCGGTCAATTACTTGCTGAAACTTTTTCGAGAGATTCTCCTCTATTCGATGTATATATACATGTGACTAGAAACATTTCATCTTTTTAATAGTATCTTGATGTTTATTCCAGTCATCGGTCCTTGACCAGAAGTTAAGACTACGATCGTTTCTGAACCTACAACGAAATACTTCCTTTTCCACCCATCACTGACACTTATCAATGCATCGTCGCATTAGACTCTGTAACTCACTCCAGCACTCTAATCAAGGTGACAAGCCAGCACTATGGCATAACACTGCTGGCGCTGCACAGCTTTTATTTCATCATGTCGACTGCCACTTCCTCAAGCATAAGCCATAATAGTGGTTCAAAATATGCCTTTATCCATCGTAACGTGCTTGAACTGGCCCATCTGTATATCGAATGCTATGGACACTGTCACAACCACCCATATTAAAACTAATGGGAGCTGTACATTCATCCAAAACACTTCGCTATCACCACTATGCAAAGATAATGTAAAACTTGAAACACAAGCGCATTTATTTATCTTAAGACTTGTGAAAACGACCCGTCATTTCACAGAACACTAGTGACACAGCCGAAGTGCTCAGTGATAAAACCACTGTCAGCGAGACATTCATGCGATCCACTTTAGAGACCATCACACATTTGTGTAACTTATCTCCATAGCAATATTTCACCCGGGCATTGCAACATCTGAGGCATTGATGCACTGGTGTACTTTAAGGCTTGTGCTGCACACACATTGGTACAATGAACACTGGTGAGGCCTTCTAAAATTAGGAAGCATCAGTGCAATCTGTTGCATGTGAAACTGACTGATTGGCACATGAAGCACTATTATCATATCCCTACTCGTTAGTCAAAGTACTGCTGGAAGCAGCGAATTCATATAGCTTATTCTAGCTGTAGCTGCGCATTCACGCATGCTACCTTCCTGATATTAGATCACTCCGATACAGAAATACTCGTGGCATTGACGTGCTCCTGCGTGTGAATGGTAGTAGAACTGACATTTCTGTGCATCGGAACATCTAATGTTTGAAATGTAGTGTTTACTGCAATCTTTTCGATTGTATTTTCTGTTATTAACGGTATGAATATACGGTGAGAATCCTGACTTATGACTGTTCTAAAATGATGATGCTCTTTGGCAAAAATGATTTTAATATCTAAGCAAAGTGGCTTTGCGCTGTTCTATTGAACTTCTTCATTCCTATCATATCCCTTACATTTTTGTTGAGTCACAGAATGGTGGATTTCAATAATAGACGAGTTCACAAGCAAAAGTCATACTCTTTCGTGGACAACTGCAGACTTTGTCCGTTTAATATATTTTGTTGTAAGATGTGTTTTGATTGTGGTTAAAGAAATTCATGAATGATGCTCTAGACCAACAGAGAGAAAATGAATTTTGTTTTTCATCGTGCCTTCGAAAGAAAAATAAAACAAAGTTAGATTCTTTGGTGATCAACGCAAACAAATAATGTCATCACTGGCGACAGAGTGGATGAACTTCTTGATGAAATTTTTTTTCCAGCGTGAATGTTAACGAAAGAGAACGCCTAAGAGCTTTTTTCTGTATTGCAGAGAAAGACTAAAACAAACATTCAGTTGGATGATGCATCGCACAAGATTACTTTTCATTCAAATGAAAAGCGACGTTTGTGTATGCAGTGCAAGCTACACAATAGGCATGCGAAACACTGGAATTGACGAGCAAAGCTTTACTATGTAAAAGTAAAGTCTAGTTGCATACGCATAAAAAAATGTCAGTTGACAAGAGGCCGAAATACTGGTCAGCGTAATTATAATGTGTGTTTTTGTTGTACTGTTTTCTTCCATTGATGCAAAGTTAGGGAAAGATTTGTAGCTAATAGTATCGAAGCGCACGTGTAACAGTGTTATTTCAAATTGAACGTTGGAACTTGTTCTCCATGAAAGAAGATAGATTTTTGCGATAATTTTCGAGTGAAGCCAGTGAAAAAATGAACACACTTTGAGTCATGCATGATGTCTTCGACTAATCCGTGTTGAAAGATGTGCTCCTTGTTAGAATGCATGACTGTAATAGGCATAGATATCAGAAATATAGGATGTTTCATAATAATTGATGATAAATTATTAATAATATTTTTTATACTTCCTTTTTGACGGGCAGTGCTGAAATTTTTATCACATACATATCTTATCAAGATCTTTTATTTTTGAAAGTTTCAGCTTTCTAGATATAACTAATGGTGAAATACATCGACAAGATTCAAAAAGATTCGACTTCGTACTCGCTTTTTGCATTTTATTTTGATAGTGAAAATAATGCAAAAATCCAGTAAGAAAATTGGTGTATTTCAGTCTTCTCAGTTTATCTCACCACCAGTGATGGCAGGACGACTAAAAAATTTAGAAATAATAGATATTGATTAGATGCATATGTGATAAAAATTTCATTTCTGTCCTTCAAAACAAAAATTATAAAAAAATACGATTAATAATTTATCATCAGTTATTACGAAACACCTTTTATGTACCATTTCGCGTACAGATTTCTCGGCTATGGTAAAAATCGAGTATATTAGGTTAGAAAAAAAGATCTATTATAGGCATTATTTATGAATATTCTTTCTTCCATTAAAAATATTCGCTTCATGATAGAATCGAAACTACATTAATGAAAAACTCACAGAACGATGCGTGAAGCTTATTATTGTTTTCTTTCACGTTTTAGATCTTTGTTTCTGAAAAAATGGCTCACGGTTACACGTGCGTAGAACGCTTTCTTGATGCAGCTCAAGAACCAACGAAGGAATTGACCCCTATTGAAGGCTATGAGAAAACAAATTTGATGACACTTGAACAATCTTTGCAACCAATGCTTGCAAAGCTTCATAACCTTGAGACGATGATTAAAATAGCTAAGCGAAATTCACGCAAACCAGTGAATGGACTTACTCCAGATGAATCAGCCGCGATTCATCTGTATACAATGCAGTGGTCTGAAACACATACCAGCCTTTACGCCATGCTTAATGAAGCACTTCGTTGTCAAAATCGAAGGAGTCTCATACAATGGTTTGCGTACCTGAAACTTTTTCTTACTGCATTGTATAAGCTACCATCATTCAAAGGCACCATTTGGCGTGGTGTTCGTGGCAATATGATTGAAGCGTTCGATGAAGATCTAATATGGTGGGGAGTGAGCTCTTGCACTGAAAAATTGTCAATCATTGAAGGCTTTCTTGGTGTCGAGGGTGAGCGAACATTGTTCAACATTCAATGTATCAATGGCAAAGCTATTCGAGCTCATTCGCATTTTGAGACAGAGGAAGAAATTTTACTTATGCCTGGCACCTATCTCCAGGTAGTTGGAAAATGCAGACCATCCAAGGACTTGCACATCATTCAATTGCGAGAAGCACCAGCTCCATATCAAACTATTGTACCACCATTTGATACATCGTCAGGCAATTTGCCTTCTCTGGAACCACTGGTAATATCCAAAGAGTCATCGAAAATATCAACCGCTTCTGCCGCACCCGCAAAATCATATGGTGAAATGCTTCTTCTTATTTTTTTTCTCCAAGTTTACCTTTGAACAAGCAGATACAGATCTAGTGTTGTAGCTTCTATAGAGGCATTTTTCAGAGTAAAGACAAACATCACTCTAAGTGTCCGGAGAATGTTGTAACGCTAGTAGTACCGAAGTTTTGCCAATCTGTTCTTGCATTTTTGTGGAACTCACATATATTTTCGAAGAAAATAGTGAGTGCAAATTTTGAGATCAAGTTTTCGCGGCTTCCCCCTCTCCCTCTCTATTACAGACAGCGTTCCCATTACAGACGTTAGCAATCGAGAATAAAAGATGTTAGATTTTCTGGAGTTTTTTTCGAAAAATTGATGAAGTTATCATTTTGACAAAAAAATGAAGATCTCTATTTGTGACTTGATTAATATGATACTGTGTAAGATCTGCTGTAGATATCATAGATATGTAAAACACACTTATTTGCCAATTCATTCAATGATTATAATAATAAGAATGATACATAAAAAAAAAATTAAAAATAATGAGCGAACAGCAACAATGAAAACAAAAAATAGGGCACCGTTAGAAAAAAATTTAAAAATTTTGTTCCAAATGCAGAAATTTGGAGAATTTTTTACTTCAGTGATTGATTATCCTGCAAAACAATTATAGCTTACGGAAGATTTTTCATTTTTTATATTAGTTTAATGAGGCTAGAGTGCATATGTGAGTTCCACATTTTAGCCCCAAGGGGGCTGTGCCAACATGCTCTTGTTAACACTACATGATATTGGACAGGGAATAGTCCTTTGCTCTTTTTATTTGATATTATTTGTTTCGAATATATTTAGCAGGTGCATAGATATTAGATATTTGACCTAGATCAGAGTGAAACACATTACATAAGAACACTGATTTATTTCTTGTTACCATTCAATGTATAGATCGCCATTCTTGTTTTTAGGGCCTGCACCCACAATTTCCGTATCATCACCGCCTGAATTCCGAAATCCGACACTAGAAAGAAAAATTGCTAAAAACGAAAATCTAGAAAATTTATCACTGAATCACATGGGTTTGACAGATCTCGATATGGAAATCGTGGCTTATTATGCAATTCGAAAAAGCAAGGTAATATTACTGATAGAAAGCTATGTACACACTTTCATGGCTCCTCTTCATGTGTTCTCAGAAACTCTTAACCAGTGTTCTTTGTTCCTTCGGTTCAACAGACTCGTCTGGAAAATTAGCAAACGTGCAACGTCAAGTAGTAAATAAAAGAAAATAAAACCTTTGCTGGACTGTGAACCACAATATAACAAAAAAAAATACACTTAATTTCGTTGGAATCTATTCAGCAGCCTTGACACACTATTACGATTCATTGGCGAGATTCTACTGAGGGGAAGAAAACGTCTCTATCGATTAATTATACAGATCTTATATGAGCAAGGCATTAACCATCTAAAAGTCTCGATACTTGACATGCACACTCCTTCAATATGATCAAAAAGACTTCACAACGAATTTCATGCTGATTGACTATGCTAGTTTTTTTATATTGTATCAAACAACATTTTCTATACAATGAGTTCTAACTTGGTATTGGAAATCAACGCTTCATGACACTTTCGTTTCTCCAATTCAGTCACTCAGTTCGAGTCAGTCACTAGTCTATTTTGAAAGACTAAAACTCTCTTTTTATTCAACAGGATGAGCTACTACAGACCCCGAAAAGTATGATAAGCGCAGAATCTATCCGTGAGATAAAAATAATATGAAAGTTGTGTGCCGATAATGTCAGGACATTCCTGTAAATGTTCTGAAATTCAATTCAATATACAAACAATTGAAAATCTATTTTCCCACCATTTCAAACCAACTGCACAATTTTTCTACGTAGCCCTACCATCCCACACAATCGACTGCAATTCCCGCTATATGCTCCTGTCGTGTTCTGTAATTGGCATTGTTTCTTCGCTCAAACAAATTAGCCAATCAGAATTTTTTTTTTCTTTTTTCTTGCTTTACTGATCGTACGAGACAGCCATTTGCACTTTTTCGCACAGACACTCACCACACTACATCTCGGAGAGAATGAAATCGGAGAAAAAGGAATTCAACATCTGGCTGATGCATTAAGAAATAACACAGTAACTCTCATTCTCTCTTTATCTCTTTCGTATACACATCTGCACTTTTTTACACAGACACTCACCACACTAAACCTCTCCGTCAATCGAATCGGAGGCAAAGAAGTCCAACATCTAGCTGATGCATTAAGAAATAACACAGTAACTCTCATTTTTTCTTTATCTCTCTCGTATACGCATCTGCGCTTTTTTGCACAGACCCTCTCTACACTCGATCTCACCTTCAATAGAATTGGAGACGAAGGAGTCCAACATCTGGCTAATGCATTACGAAACAACACCGTAATTCTCATTCTCTCTTTATCTCTCTTGTATACGCATCTGTACTTTTTGACACAGACACTCACCACACTAAATCTCCAGAGTAATCAAATTGGAGACAAAGGAGTCCAACACCTAGCTGATGCATTAAGAAATAACACCGTAACTCTCATTCTTTCTTTATCTCTCTTGTATATCCATCTGCACTTTTTCACACAGGCACTCACCACACTATATCTCTCCGAGAATCAAATCGGAGACGAAGGAGTCCAACATCTGGCTGAGGCATTACGAAATAACACCGTAATTCTCATTCTATCTTTATCTCTCTCGTATACCCATCTGCACTTTTTCACACAGGTACTCTCCACACTATATCTCCAGAGTAATGAAATCGGAGACACAGGAGTCCAACATCTGGCTGAGGCATTACGAAATAACACCGTAACCCTCATTTTCTCTTCATCAATCATATATACCCATCTGGACTTTTCCACACAGACACTTATTACACTGTATCTCTACAATAATCAAATTGGAGACAAAGGAGCACAACATCTGGCTAATGTATTACGAAATAACATGGTGAACTTCATTCTCGGTTCACGTCTCTCATATACCCATCTACACTTTTTTACAGACACTCACAACACTATATCTCCAGAAAAATCACATCGGAGATAAAGGAGCACAACGTCTGGCTGATGCTTTAAAAAATAACATGGTGACCCACATTCTCTCTTCATCTCTCTCATACACCAATCTGCACTTTTTCACACAGACACTCACCACACTCTGTCTCGCAAGAAACGAAATCGGGCACACGCTTGAGGAAATTATAGAGAAACTGATTGAACGGAACCAACGGCAAACCCTATCGTGAGCATTGATGTTGAAGATGGTTTGGTGTAGAACTGAAATGATCTGTTGAATATATGACCTCTTTTGTCATATTTTGCTTGCTGACGAAAATAAACTTTTTGATTTTTTACGTGATGTGCGTGATAATAATAATATCGCGTTAGTTTTCTTATTGTATAAGGATGATGGAACATGAGTGGTTTATTTTGTTGCGGGGTGCTGAATATGTGACTTCCGTGCAATGAGGTAGTATGTTCGAATCGTCCATAATTATTTTGTTTGAGTAAAGATGTTTTAAATGTGTTTCAGCCAATGTAATTAGAATCCAGTAAATTTTCAATTTCGAGAGGGCGATAATTTTCGACGTTGCGAGCGATTATTCGCTTTTTTATGCCGGAAAAATGATGATAGAAATACCCGATTTAAACTCTGATTGATGTAGGTTTCAGTGTAGAATGGTCTGCAAATCACAAAAGTTTCGTTTTCGTAACAAAAATCAAATTGCTAGATGATTGGTAACTCTTACGATCCGCTGAGGATGTTCATCGAGAATACGATCTATATCATTATTGACATGATAAATATCTGAGATTCTGCTGTCTTAAATGATACATTTCGTGTGGGAATGGTCCATGAACGTTGATTTTGTCGATGTAAGAAAACACTGATTAAAGTCAGTTGAAGTTTTGTAAAACAATATTCGACGTCATAATCATTGTGAAATATTTTGAACTCTTGAAATAATTGCATACATCGTATTCAACATTAATATCCATATAACGAGTAGATATTGTTTATGATAATAGACTCATTTTTGAGCGAATGAATATGTACTTATATGAAGTCAGTATATTTTGAGTGCCAGATCAGAAAAAGAACTACTATGTTGAAAACTACATGATGTACATAGCAATACAGTAATATTCACAAAACGTTTCGTTGTGACAGAGCTCTATTTACCATCGAAATAGTACTTGGGATCAATTTTTTGCTGCAATAAGATAATGATGTGAAAGTCATCGTTCTTCAATCGTCTTGAAACATATTTCAGGTATTTTAAAAATTCTATTTGACATGCTACTTTATTCGATGTTTGGAAAAGCCAATTTGATATTCGCGTAAAACTTTCAGATGAATCTTAGATTGAACGTAATAAAACTGATCAGTCTGAGAATTGCTTCCATTAATGTCCGTCCCATTACGGATCCTAGATTGGTCAAGACGGATTTGAGATTGAACGCTAACATGTATATCGATGTTCAGTATAACATTTTCGTCTAATTCCTTTAACAAATGAATCGAATATGAAAAAGAGTTAACTATCAGCTAATATACATCGAGCTATTCTTGTTAGAAACAAACACAATAAAAATTAAAAAAACAGTATATGAAAAGGAAAAATATCCTCTTTTTTCTTTAACTCAGTTTTCTCATTCATGTCACTCGCCAGTCTACTCTACATCTTATCATCAAGATACTTCGAATCATTCCCCTTTGCCATTGACGGTGCTATATGTCAAATGAAAATTTGTTTTTTATTCGAACATAACCCATAGCACCATCACATTGAAGAATGGTACATGTATATCTTCTTTTAGAGTGCTAATAAAGGTTATTTATCTTTCTAAAGAATTATTAACTTTTGTATGCTTTAATATTTATTAAAACCATAATCTTCAGAAATACTCGAACGTTGATCGAAATTTAATGTTGACTTTCAATATAAGAAAATTATTCTTTTTGAATAGAGTTGTTTCGATTATATGCTATGAAATAAAAAGGTAAAATAGAGTA